GGAAGGACGGCTCCAGAGCAAACTAATGTATGCAGCAGCCAAATTGCCAGTAGCTCACAGAATAGAATTTTTGCTCACAAGAATCGACACCTTAGAGAGAGCTTTGCTTCCCAGTGAAGGAGAATTTGTGCACAGGTCACTCTGGTATATCTTCAAATACTGTCTGCTGTACAGGCCACCTTTAGAAGTGAGGCTGCTCTTTTAAGCATCCCCACTTTTTGTAAACGTGACAAAGGACATGGACTTCTCAGTGAGAGCCAGTTTGGAGTAGTGGTTAAGTGCGCGGACTCTAATCTGGGAGAACCAGGTTTGATTCCCCACTCCTCCACTTGCACCTGGCTGGATGACCTTGGGCAAGCCATAGTTCTGATAAGAGCTGTGTCAGGGACTGGAAGGCGCTGGCCCACCCCTTGGCTACCTCATGTCGATGTGCATTCATCCACCACAGGTAACCAGAGTTAGGGCCCAACTAGATACAACAACGTCCTTGTGCCTGTCATGAGAACACCACCATCATCTGAAAATGCTGTGCCCTCCCCCCACAACCTTTTCAAGTGCATGACGGAGTGAGCTCCCGTCTCTAGTTCCAGCTCCTGCCAACCTAGCAGTTTGAAAGCAAGAAATTGCAAGCGATTCCCCCCGAAATGACCTCTGCTTATCGGATATATAGGGTATAGAGCACGTAGGATACTGGGAAATCTGCTAGTGGTTTTCTAAGATCTTCTGTTGGTTCATTTAGTATGGTGGTTCTCTACAGCTGCATTTTAAAATTTGTTTTGTACTTGGCTTTTCACATTTTTTTATTGTATGCAGCTTTGAAAAACCAAGTGTTGACTAGGGGTTTAGGATTTTAAAAAATGATTAAAATAAGTGGCTAATAAAATACACCACAATGCGTATATTTTCCAGTATTATTTCCAATCACATCCTTGATTCAAAGGGTCATATCGCATCTTTAATAACGAAACGCAACAACCAGCACAAGTACACTTGGACAATTCATAGCAACCGCCACAATTAATTTTTTCGCTCAAGTCTAAAACACTAATCTCTGCCAATCACCTTTCGTGAGTCGCCTAGATACACAGCCAAACCGAAGGAAGGATCTTGAATACGTTTTGTGCCATTGATTAATCATGAAAGAGAATTAAGGAAAAGGTTTAATATTTTCCTTTGCGCCTGATGCTTTTGTTCTGGCTCTGGTTTAGAAAAGAGTGTTGACTTTTGATAGCAGTAATCCGTAAGCAAATTCTCTCCTCCCATACCAAAGAAAATGTTGATTAGCCAGAAAAAAAGCCCTATCACTCTGTTAAACAAATAAATCTGAAAAACTCAGATAAAGAGAGGGATGGGGCGTGTATATGAGAAATCACACCATACCTGTGTGTTTTCATTTCAGACCGACACAGGCAGGTAATCCAGCTTTTCTACTGACCAGGGGTTGCCGGCCAAAGGACAAAAACGGGGGAAGACAAACGCAACCCAAATTATACCGACAATGTTAAAAGGGTCACGCTAACCTCAAAATAAATATTATAAAAATATATTTTTAATTTATGGTGTCCACGGTGGCAAAGATTAAAAGATTAAAAACAAACAGTCCAAAGATCAGACGACACAGAGCATCAACAGGAGTTTTATATAAGCCGTGATGCATTTTGTGTACTAAATAACACCCTTTCAATCCACTTTCAGTGCAGTTTGCGACTGGATTTTGTGGTGTGAAATGGAAAAATCCACTTGCAAACGGTCACCGAAGTGGATTGAAACTGCATCGATGATTTCGCATACGCAGTTAATGAATATATCAAATGACTAATACATGTTTTGGCCTTTAGGGCCTTCCTCAGTGGCCAATAATACTATTATAAAGAGAACCACACCCAGAAGTTAATATATATATAAATTGAAGGCTGGTTTTGCTTCCTCATATGTTGTGTAGGTTGCTGAATATTTATGAAGTAGGCCGTGGATAACTTCTCATGGTGACTGCACACACACCACAAAAAAGATCTTCAATGATATAATAATCTGGTATGAAATTTCCCAGGTCTCTGGATGTGTGTGTCGTCAACCTAAAGTTGCAATAAATAAAGCGAATGAGGAGCAGTGCAGCTTAGGGTTGCCAAGTCCTCACTGTATGTAGAGCGGGGGACTCTGGGAGTTTGTGCGCGTGTGCGCGCCACAATTACGTCACCCGGAAGTGACGCAACCACGTCGGGCACGCAGGGGGCGGGGCCACAATCATCCAAGGGAAAACGAGTGATGTGCTGACGCCGGGCACATCGCGTGCTTTGGGGGTGGGGTTCCCCCCGGGGCCCGATCTGCCAGCGGCGGGTAACGGGCCTCTCGGGCGGGGGTTTCCCTGCCCCCCAGGGGGACTTGGCAAGCCTAGCACGGGTGTTTTGTCCTCAAGATGAATTTCCATCTGCTTTACTGCAAAAAGCACGCAGTTTGTCATCCAAGCTGCAGACTAGGGGTGCCAAGTCTGGGCTGGAATACTTTGGGGGTGGATCCAGGAGAGGGCGGGGTTTGGGGAGGGGAGAGGCCTCATCGTGGTGCAATGCCATAGAGTCCCCCCTTCAAGGCAACCCTTTTCTCCAGGGGAGCTGATCTTTGTCAGCTGGAGATCAGTTGTAAAAGCAGGAGGTCTCCAGGCCCCACCTGGAGGCTGGCAACCCTACTGCAGATGGCTGCCTGGAAGCAGTGTTGGACGTCTTGTTGCTTTTGGTCAACTCCTTTAGGTACAGCACATATCCCTCCTCCTGAAGTCCTTACTTGTGAGG